AAAAAAAAAAAAAAAAAAGAATGCAAAAGAATGAAGGTGGACTCCTCCTTCATACCATATAAGAAATTGAACTTAAAGTGCATAATAAACCTAACTGTAAGAGCTAAAACTATAAAACCCTTTTAAGAGTAAATCTGCACCATCTCAGATTAGGCAATGGTTTCTTAGATTCAACACCAAAAGCAAAAATGACCCCCTCTTCCCCCCAAAAAAGATACATTGATTTCATAAGAATAAAACACTTTTGTGTTTCAAAGGACACCATCTAGAAGGTGAAAAGCCCAAAAAACTGAGGAGGAACTCCTCCCCAACTCATTCTATGAGGCCAGCATCATTCTAATACCAAAACAGAGACATAACAAAAAGAGAAAACCAGGCCAATATCCTTAATGAATATAGATATAAAAATTCTCCACAAAATACTAGCAAACTGAATCCAGTAATACATCAAAAAGCTAATCCAACAGAATCAAGTAGGCTTTATCCCTGGTATGCAAGACTGCTTCAACATATGCAATCAATAAATGTGATTCATCACATAAACAGAAGTAAAAACAAAAACCATTGCTTGCTCCTCAAGTAATCCTCCCTTCAACATCCCTTCATGTTAAAAACCCTCAACAGACTAGGCATTGAAGAAACATATCTCAAAATATCAAAAGCCATTTATGAAAAACCCTTAGCCAACATCATACTGAATGGGCAAAAGCTGGAAGCATTCCCCATGAGAACCACAACAAGACAAAAATGTCTACTCTCACCACTCCTATTCAACATAGTACTAGATGTCCTACCAGATCAGGCAAGAGAAAGAAATATAAGGCATCCAAATAGGAAGAGAGGAAGTAAAACTACCTCTGTTTGCAGCTGACATGATTCTATACCTAGAACACCCCCCATAGTCTCTGTTCAAAAGCTCCTAGATCTGATAAACAACTTTAGCAAAATTTCAGGACACAAAATCAATGTAAAAAAAATCAGCAGCATTTCTATACACCAACAATGTCCAAGTTGGGAGCCTAATAAAGAATGCAATCCCATTCACAAAAGTCACAGAAAGAATAAAATACCTAGAAATACAGTTAGATGAAAAGTCTCTACAATGAGAATTACAGAACAATGCTGAAAGAAATTAGAGATGACACAAACAAATGGAAAAACATCCCATGCTCATGGATAGGAAGAATCAATATTGTTAAAATGCCCAAACTCCCTATTCAATTAATGTGCTGGGATAAATGGTTAGCCATATGCACATGATTGAAACTGAACCCCTTTCTTATACCATATACAAAAATCAACTCAAGTTTGATTAAATACTTAAAAGTAAAACCTAAAACTTTAAAAACCCTGGAAGATAACCTAGAAAATACCATTCTGGACATAGGCTCTGGCAAAGATTTCATCACAAAGATGCCAAAAGCAATTGCAACAAAAACCAAAAATTGACAAATGGGACCTAATTAAACCAAAGAGTTTCTGCAGAGCAAAATAAATTATCAATAGAGTAAACAGACCACCTAGAGAATAAGACCAAATATTTGCAAACCATGCATCTGACAAAAAGGCCTAATATCCAGAATCTATAAGGAACTTAAATTAACAAGCAAAAAATAACCACATTAAAAAGCAGGCAAAGGACATGAACACACACTTTTCAAAAGAAGACATACACATGACCAACAAGCATATGAAAAAATGCTCAGTATCACTTATCATTAGAGAAATGCAAATCAAAACCACAATGAGATACCATCTCACACCAGTCAGAATGGCTATTACTAAAAAGCCAAAAAATAACAGGTGCTAGTGAGGTTGCAGAGAAAAGGGAAAGCTTACACACTGCTGGTGGGAATGTAAATTAGCTCAGCCATTGTGGAAAGCAGTTTGGCGATTTCTCAAAGAAGATAGTTAAAGCAGAACTATCATTCAACCCAGCAATCCCATTATTGGGTATATAACCAAAGGAATATAAATCATTCTACCATAAAGATACATGCACAAATATATTCCTCACAGCACTATTGACAATGGCAAAGACATGGAATCAACCTAAATGCCCATGATTGGCATTTAGGTTGGCACACTGGTATATTAGTCTGTCCTCACACAGCTGTAAATATACTACCTGAGAAGAGAGGTTTAACTGACTCACAGTTCTGCATGGCCAGGAGGCCTCAGGAAACTTATAATCATAGTGGAACGTGAAGGGGAAGCAAGGCATGTCTTACATGGTGGCAGGAGAGAGAGCACAGGGGAAAACTGCCACTTTTAAACTATCAGATCTCTTGAGAACTCACTATCACGAGAACAGCATGGGGGAAACTGCTCCCATGATCCAATCACCTCCCTCCCTTGACACATAGGGATTACAATTCAAGATGAGATTTGGCTGGGGATACAGAGTCAAACCATATCAATTGGATAAAGAATTTGTGATACATATACACCACAGAATACTATGCAGTCATAAAAAAGAACGAGGTCATGTCCTTTGCAGCAACATGGATGGAGCTAGAGGCCATTATCCTAAGTGAATTAATGCAGGAACAGAAAATCAGATACTGGGTGTTCTCACTTATAAGTGGGAGCTAAACATAGCACACACGAACAAAAAGAAGTGAACAACAGACACTGGGGCTTACTTGAGGGTGGAGGGTAGGAGGAAGGTGAGGATTGAAAACTACCTATCAGGTACTATGCTTATTACCTGAGTGATGAAATAACCTGTACACCAAACCTCCATGATATGCAATTTACCTATGTGACAAACCTGCAAATGTACCCCGAACCTAAAATAAAAGTTAAAAAAAATTTAAAAAGAAGGTGAAATAACAACTCAAAGAATGGGAGAAAGTATTTGTAAATCATGTATGTCATAGGGTCTAGCATCCAGAATATATAAAGAACTCTCAGAACTCAATAAAAAGACAACCTAATTCTAAAAAGGGGCAAAGTAATTCAATAGACATTTCTCCAAAGAAGACACACAAATAGCCAATAAGCATATGAAAACATGTTCAACATGTTTAGTCATTATTAAAAAACAAATGAAAACCACAATGAGATGCCATTTCATTTTGAGTTCACACTGACTAGGATGGCTAGAATAAAAAACAGACAACAAGTGTTAGCTAAGATGTGCAGCTAGCAGAACCCTCATATATTGCTGATGGGAATGTAAAATGGTGCATTAACTGTGGAAAAGAGTTTGGGGATTCCCCAAAAATAATAAATGACCCAGTAATTCCACAGCCAGGTATATACCCAAGAGAAATGAAGACATATGTCAACACAAAAGCTTGTACACAAATGTCCATAGCAGGATTATTCATAATGGCCAGAAAGTGGAGACAACCCAAATGTCCATCAGCTGATGAATGGATAAACAAAAAGCAGTATATATTGATAAAATGGAATATTCAGCCATAAAAATGAATGAAGTTGTAGTGACGCATGCTACAACATGAACTTTGAAAACATGCTAGGTCAAACATGCCAGTCACAAAGGTCACACATTTTATGATTCCATTTACATGAAATGTCCAGAATAGAAAAATCTAGTCAGAAAGTAGATTGGTGTTTAAGACGTGGAGACAACAGGAAATAGGGAGTGGCCACTAATGGTTATGGAGTTTCTTTTTGAGGTGATGAAAATGTTCTGAATTAGTGATGATGGCTGCACAACTCTGAATATACCAAAGGCCATTGAGTTGTACACTTGAAAAGGGTGAATTTTATGGGTATGTGATTATATCTCAATAAAGCTGTCATTTAAAGAAATTGGCACATAACATTATTAACTTCAGGGACTGTGTGGTATAGCAAAAGGTACCCTGCCCTTGATTCTAGCTCCTGTCTTTATTAATATGGCTCTGGGTCACCCACTCAATCACTGAGAGCCTAAGTTTCTTCATCTGCAAAATAAAAATAATATAAACTACCCAATCTGTCTCATGTGGTTCTTTTGGGACAAAATTAGATATTGCATGTAAAAGAGTGTTTGTGAATTATAAAATGCTGCATAAATTCAGGTTATGTCTCTTCTGAAGTTGGATTAGAATAGTAGGAAGCAGGCCGCGTGCAGTGGCTCACTTCTCTTATTCCAGCATTCTGGGACACAGCGAGCGAATCACTTGAAATTAGGAGTTCGAGACCAGCCATGGCCAACAAGGCAAAACCCTGCCTCTACCAAAAAATACAAAAATTAGCTGGGCATGGTGATGTGTGCCTGCAGTCCCAGCTACTGGGGAGGCTGAGGTGGGAGAATCACTTGAACCAGGGAGGCGGAGGTTGCAGTGAGTCTAGATTGTACTACTGCACTCCAGCCTGGGCAACAGAGTGAGACCCTGTGTCAAAAAAAAAAAAAAAAAGTAGGAAGCATAAGGTAGGAATAAAAGATCATTACTGTTCAAGCTTTCCATAACTTATTTCCACTCCATTTAGTCTCATTAACTTAATGTTGCCTCCATTTCCTGTACCTTTTTCTTACCATCTACTATAATCTTGTATCGTATAAAGCCAAAAAGTTGAGTTAGGGTACTGAAACAGCCAGAACTGTTTAAATAGATATGCAAAGGCCATAGTTCTTTTTGTTGCTAAATTAAATGAATTCTCTCAAATCCTAAATCGAATAAAAGCATATAACACAAAATAATTAAGTAATGTTCTACGGGCATTTAATTCTGTTACCTCTAGTGCATGTATGGGAATGGAGCACCTCCCCCAGCCATTGAGATGACAAAGAATGTCCACAGTGCTGGCACTTCCATGGATCATGAGTCTGTTTAAAAACTCTTCTTGTGTCAAACCAAACAAAATCAGAGAGAGTCCTTTCTCTATAGGAAAAATAAAAGTTAGCTTTAATAAATTAGATTAGATCTTAGGATTATGATTTAGGAATTAATTTTTAATTACCCAATACTTCAGTACTATAATTACAAATATATTTACTGGATATCACGTACTAAAATGACCTTAATTAACTCATCATGATTTTTCAACATTTTTAAAGGACAGTTTTTTGGGTTTTTCCTTTTTGGAGAGAGTCTCCCTCCATTGCCCAGGCTGGAGGGCAGTGGTGTGATCATAGCTCACTGCAGCCTCAGACTCCTGGCCTCAAGCAATCCTCCCACCTCAGCCTCTGGAGTAGCCGGAATTACAGCTTCGTGCCATCACACCCAGCTAATTTTTTAAAAATCGTTTTGCTAATTTAAAAAAATTTTTAAATTATTTTGTAGCAATAGGGTTTCACTTTGTTTCCCAGGCTGGTCTCAAACTCCTGGCTTCAAGTGATCCTCCCACCTTGGCCTCCCAAAGTGCTTTGATTACAGGCATGAGCCACTGCACCCACCAAGAAAATTTATCTTTAAAACACTGACCACAAGGCAAATTCTTTTAAGAGCAATGCATTTTATGAAATAGCACAAATTGGCTGGGCACAGTGGCTCCTGCCTGTAATATCAGCACTTTGGGAGGCCAAGGTGGGCAGATCACCTGAGGTCAGGAGTTTGGGACCAGTCTGGTCAACATGATGAAACCCCATCTCTACCAAAAATAAACAAAAATTTAGCTGGGTGTGGTGGCAGGCGCCTGTAATCCCAGCTACTGGAGGCTGAGGCAGGAGAATCGCTTGAACCTGGGAGGCGGAGGGCAGTGAACCGAGATCACACCATTGCACTCCAGTCAGGGAGACTCCATATCAGGAAAAAAAAAAAAAAAGCACTAAATCCCACATATCTACTTTATTTTATCTTGCATAACCAATCATGGAACCTTTAATCACTTAGAGATGTCAGATTTCTGGTTTATCATTATAAAATAATTCACAGCTTATTCCTGACACATAGAAATACAAGACTACCAAAATTTGAGTATAGAAGAAACACATGGTTAATTCCAATCACAACATTCAATGCCTTTGTAGAACACAGATTCTGCAGTGAATGAATACATATCTGAAATATCAAAATGTCCCATGCCTACAGGGGCCTAGCAGGTAGTGAGAGAAGTGAAAGAAAAACCTAATCAGAAATAAAATGGCTCATGCCAGGCATAGTGGCTCACGCCTGTAATCCTAGCACTTCGGGAGGCAAAGCCGGGAGGATCACTTGAGCTCAGGAGTTTGAGACCAACCTGGGCAAGGTAGTGAGACCTCACCTCTATTAAAAAATGAAAGTACAGCCAGGCATGGTGGCTCACACCTATAATCCCAGCACTTTGGGAGGCTGAGGCAGGTGGACTGTTTGAGGTCAGGCATTTGAGACCAGTCTGGTCAGCACTGCGAGACCTCATCTCTACTAAAAATACAAAAATTAGCTGGGCGTGGTGGTGCGTGCCTGTAGTCCCAGCTACTCTGGAGGGAGGTGGAGGTTGCAGTGAGCCAAGATCGCACCACTGCACCCCAGCCTGGGCGAGAGTGAGACTCTGTCTAAAAAAAAAAATTTAAAAAAAAGAGAGAGAAATAAAATGGCCCATCTAAGAGAATGATTGAAACACAGCTCCAACCCATAAGTTAACTATGCAGGAATGCAGGCCCAGTGTTGCCAGATCTTATAATTTTCAGTAACAGCTGGAAATTAGAATTTGTGTGAAACCCTCTAATTATGAATGTTTATAATCTTTTTTAAAAGCCTAGACAGTGCAAGCCAAGCAAAATAAATATGCAGTTCATACATGGCCCATGAGCAGCTAGCTTACAACCTCTGCTTGTCAAGTCAAACGAAGACTCTTTGAGTTTAAAAAAATAATAATAATAAACTTCATTTCTCTCAAACTTTCTCTGACTTAGTATCTTAGCATTTAGCTGGGCAGAAATGACGTTAATTAAAAGCCAAACATATGAGACACTATTACCAAGAATAACAAGAACCTTCCTCTATAAACAATTATAATACCACTTAAAGGTGAGGCAGGCACTGAGGCAGAAGCAAAATACAGTAGGAAAGCATACATCTCAGCAATGGTGAATTTCAGTCTGATACAAGACAGTCTCACCTGTCAAAACAAAGCACAGTTGCTGCTCTCCACTACTGTCTACAGGAACACACTTTCTGCCAAGGGAAAAACACTGCATGCCCTGGTTCTCCAAATCCCAGAGGGTAATGGTATAGCCCATCCTTTCCACTTCCCAAGTAAACAGTGCAGTGAATCCTGTCACAGACACACATTTAAGATCTATGGGTTCCTCTTGTTCACCGATGTGCATTATCTTCCATGATCTTCCTGGATCACTGGTCTTGGCATGATCTTTCCGTAGAAAATTATATTGCCCATGTATTATGTCCTGTGGAATGAAAGCCCAGCTCTGCACACTTGTACTGTGGTTACCACATTCAGGTGACTCTGAATGCAAAATATCCTGGAACCATGGAGCACAACAGGAAACCTCCAGTTTGGAGTTCTTTATTGTTTCATTCAATGATGATAGCTGGGCTTTCCAAGACCTGGAAAACAAGGTAAAATATAACTTAACACCTGTCACAGTAAAAGGCACTATGTGAAACACTAAACCAGGGCAAAGACGTTCTTAAGAAAAAAAAGTGGCTGGGCGCGGTGGCTCACGCCTGTAATCCCAGCACTTTGGGAGGCCGAGATGGGCGGATCACAAGGTCAGGAGATCGAGACCATCCTGGCTAACACAGTGAAACCCCGTCTCTACTAAAAGTACAAAAAACTAGCCGGGCAAGGTGGCGGGCGCCTGTGGTCCCAGCTACTCGGGAGGCTGAGGCAGGAGAATGGCGTAAACCCAGGAGGCGGAGCTTGTAGTGAGCCGAGTTCGCGCCACTGCACTCCAGCCTGGGTGACAGAGCAAAGACTCCGTCTCAAAAAAAAAAAAAAAAAAAAAAAAAAAGTATCTACCAAATAAAGACCTTTAATGAAAGGGTACAGTGTCAGTATGATAAAAAATAGGAACAATAAACTAAATGAAAAGGAAATTTCTGTACCTATCAATTTGGAAAGAAAACTTGGTCAGTTTCATGTTGTAGGCAGAGTTAACAGGATCATCTTCATCTATCCCCTTAGGTCCTTGAATAGGAAGGTCTTCTAGTGTTCTTTCACACAGTAGGTGTCCTGGGTGTTGCCTACATTTAAAAATAATGATAGCCATATGAAAAAATGATGATCAAACCCAAATTTGTGTTACTATTGCTCCTGTTAAAAATAAGAGACTACAGAGAAGGAATAGTATGGACAACAAATTCCCCAGAAAGGAACTCCTTATCTCCCTTGCTTATGCCGCAGTAATAAAGTCAACTGTAAGAATTTTATTCTATTAAGGGCAGTTAGCTTGATAAAGCAATAAGAACACTTACTGTCTACTGTATTTCAGATGTTATGCTAAACACTTCACACAAACTCTTATTTAAGCCTCTCAACAACCCTGTGAGGTAAATATAACCCCATCTTATAGATTTGGAAACTAAGGTTCAGAAACACTTTGAAACAGACTAATATGACCATCAAGTCTAGTTTTTTTTGTTTTTTTTTGAGACAGAGTCTCACTCTGTCACCCAGGCTGGAGTGCAGTGGCACAATCTCAGTTCACTGCAACCTCTGCCTCCCAGGTTCAAGCAATTCTCCTGTCTTAGCCTCCTGAGTAGCTGGGACTACAGGTGCATGACACCACACCTGGCTTATTTTTGTATTTTTAGTAGAGATGGGGTTTTACCATATATTGGCCAAGCTGGTCTCAAACTCCTGACCTCAAGTGATCCGCCTGCCTCGGCCTCTAGTCCAGATTTTAAAATCACTCATTATACTGCCACCACAAAGTAAGATTTAGGCTTAGACCAGAGGAATGTATAAGAACTAGAAGGCAAAGTATGTGTGTGGCTATAGGTGGGAGAGTATATGTGGAAAAGGGGGGGCTGTTACATTTGAGAAACAAAGAAGGCTAGGGTGGCTAACGTATAGGAAAAATGAAAAGATGGAATGGGATGAGGCTAGAAAGATGGTTCAGGGCCCCAAAGGCTATTAAGAATTTTAAACTTTTATCTGAGGGGGAAAAGGGACCTGAAGAAGGCTTTTAAGCAGAAAAGCAATATGAACAGAGGCAGAAGAGTAGCTAGGGGAACAAGGGGAAGGATTTTATCTCCTCGAGCACTTGCATTATTAAATATTAATCCTTTAAACAACTTGAAGGTAATTTGTTGGCACAACCATATGACACTGTCCCAGGATGATGATGAAAAGAAGTTAGAGAAGGTAGGGTGAAAATGAGAAGATGAATGAGAAAATAGTTCCCCCATCAACAAAATAAAAGGTAGATACCCCTGCCCAGATGTTAATGCCTGGCTACACCTCTGATAAAATATGCATTTTAACAATATCACTCTAGCTACTCTATTGTGGATGGATTTCAGGGGGTAAGAATAGGCATGAGGAGATCAAGTAGGAAACTATTAAAGTAGTTCAATTAAGAGATGATGGTGGCATAGATTAGAGTGACGACGGAAGAGTTGAGAAAAGTGGACAAACAAAAACATTTAGAAGACAGAATGGCTAGGATCTGATGATTAACTGGATGTGGATCTAATACCAAAAAGAAGTTGGAGACACAGCAGTCCCCTCTTATCCACAGCGGATACATTCAAGACACACAGTAGGTACCTGAAACTGCAGATAGTACCAAACCCTATACATACAGTTGACCCTTGAATATCACAGGTTTGAACTCCATGGGTCCACTTATATGATGTTTTTTTCCCAAAAATATATTGGAAAAATTTTTAGAGATTTGCAACAATTTGTTTAAACTCACAAATGAACCATGTAGCCTAGAAATATATTTTTTTCAGACAGGGTCTTGCTCTGTTGCCCAGGCTGGAGTACAGTGGTGCAATGACAGCTCACTGTAGCCTTGATCTCCTGGACTCAAGCAATCCTCCTGCCTCAGCCTCCAGAGTAGCTGAGACCATAGGCATGTACTACCATGCTCAGTTTAGCCTAGAAATATTTTTTAAAATTAAGATTAAGCCAGGTATGTCATGAATGCATAAAAGTTACATAGATCCTACTCTATCATTTTCTACCATAAATTATGCACAAATTGGCCGGGCACAGTGGCTCATGCCTGTAATCCCAGCACCTTGGGAGGCTGAGGCAGGTGGATCACTTGAGGTCAGGAGTTCAAGACCAGCCTGGCTAACATGGCAAAACCCCGTTTCTACTGAAAACACAAAAATTAGCTGGGCTTGGTGGCACACGCCTGTACTCCCGGCTACTTGGGAGGCTGAGACAGGAGAATCACTTGACCTCAGGAGGTGGAGGTTGCAGTGAGCCGAGATTGTACCACTGCACTCCAGCCTGGGCAATAGAGCAAGACTCCGTCTCAAAATTTAAAAAAAACCAAAACCACAAACTTGGCATAAAAAGTTAAGACTGGCTGGGTGCTCATGCCTGTAATTCCAGCATTTTGGGAGGCCAAGGTGGTCGGATCACCTGAGGTCATGAGTTTGAGACCAGCCTGGCCAATGTGGTGAAACCCCGTTTCTACTAAAAATACCAAAAATTACCGGGTGTGGTGGTGGGCGCCTGTAATCCCAGCTACTCAGGAGACTGAGACAGGAGAATCGCTTGAACCCAGGAGGTGGAGGTTGCAGTGAGCTGAGATCACACCATTGCACTCCATCCTGGACAACGAGAGCGAAACTCCATCTCAAAAAAGAAAAAAAAAAGTTAACATTTATCAGAACCTACATACACACTTACAGACTGTACATGATACCATTCAAAGCCAAAGAAAATGTAAACAAATGTCAAGATGCAGTATTAAATAACTATATATAATTAGCTGTAGTGTATACTATACTGCTATAATAATCTCATAGCCACTTCCTGTTGCCATTGCAGTGAGCCCTAGTGTTGTAAATATCTGCTTAAAATGCCATGTGATACTAATAATCTCTGTGTGAGCAGTTCTTCTCTCCAGCAAATTATGTATCACAGTAAAAAGTGATCTCTCTAGCTGGCACGGTGGGTGAACGTATAGTTCCAGCTACTCGGGAGGCTGAGCTGGAGGACTGCTTGGGCCCAGGAATATGAGTCCAGCCTGGGCAACATAGCAAGATCCTGTCTCTAAAATAATAACATAATTTTTAAAAAGTGATTTCTCGTGGTTCTCATATATTTTCATCATGTTTCGTACCATACCATAACCTCGAATAACACCATGGGACCCATATGAAATGTAATGCTGGAAGTGCTCCCAAGCAGAGAAAAGTCATGACATTGTAAAAAAAAACATGAATTGCCTGACATGTACCATGGGTTGAGGTATGCTGATGTGGTTGCTTGCCTTTTCAGACAGACTACTCATCTTGTAAACAGATTATGTAGAGTATCAATACAGTACAGTATTGTACATGTATTTTCTCTTAAGATTTTCTTAACATTTTCTTTTCTGTAGATCACTTTATTGTAAGAATACAGTATAATACATATAACATACAAAATATGTGTTAACCAGCTGTTGATGTTATCAGTAAGGTTTCTGGTCAACAGTAGGCTATTAGTAGCTAAGTTTTGGGGGAGTCAAAAGTCACATGTGGCATCTTGATTGTGCAGGGGGTTGGCATCCCCGAGTTGTTCAAGGGTCAACTGTACTGTTTTTTCCTATGCATACATACCTATAATAAAGTTTAATTTATAAATTAGGCACAGTGAGTAATAACTAACAATAGGACAATTACAAAAATACACTGTAATAAAAGTTATGTGAATGTAGTCTTTCTTAAAATATCTTAGCGTATGTAATATTTCTGAACCACAATTGACCAGGAGAAAGTGTAACTGTGGATAAAGATGACAACTATATAAAAAAGAAGAAATGGAGAAAGGCCCCTAAGAAGGATGGAAGGAATAGGATCTAAAGCATACACAGAGGGATAGGCCTTCATAGGAGGCAAGGTCATCCAAGAAAAGTTGGGAATAAAGAGATTAATGGAGGTTTGAGGAAAATAGAGAAGGTTTAAAAATACGGTTGTAAAGAATGGGCTCATGAAAAATCACTGTAAAATTTCCAAGCAACATTAAGACCAATTAAAGATACTAAGTGTGAACCTAGAGTGGTACCAATTTTCTTTTGTTGTTTTCTACAAGTACTCAGCTGCCTGACTGTAGACACTGTGAAGGCAGAAAAAAAGATTTCAATCAGGGTTGAAATTGTGCCAGACCAAATGCTATCACAGGGCAGGAGCAAGAGTTCAGAGTACATGCAAGAAAGTAACTGGTATGATGAATCACAGAATCTATGCTGGAAAGACAGGGAAGTGAAGATAGGAGGGGGTGAAGAGTAGAAGGTCAATGAATTGGAAATTCCAGTGAGGTCAGAGGATAGGTGAAGTGGGAGTACTTGAGTAAGCAAGCTGGAAAGTTTGGGAAGTTGTGGTCAGAGACTGAGATGTAAAAAGTAGTGACTTGGGGGTGGGCCGACTTCAAATACTGACAAAGCCTTGGGTAATGGCTGTGGAGGTGGAAAGCTAAGGTAAACTGGAAGAAAAAGTCATTGACGATGAATTTAAAGAACAAATCATGAATTTGGGTTCTCAAGGAGCTTATAAACTATGGGAAACATGAGAAAATTAGGCAAATAATATGTCTATACAATTAAGTGCTAAACTGTGGTTTAAAATTGTGTAATTTTGATTTACATGACATAACCCATATATGATAACACATAAGTCAAAATCAAAACTTTGATGAATATGCAAAAATACAAAGGTGGCCAGTGGTCATTTATACATATTATTCCGTAACTACTTTACAATGTATTAGCTAGAACATGATATAACTGAATAGAAAAAGAAACACTAGTTTAAAAAAAAAAAAAAACTAACAAGGATATTTTTAACCTCTTATCAGTCAATTATTTACCTCATATTAGAAACTGCCATCATCTACATACCTGAAATACAAATTTAAGTTAAGAGCAATTGCAGAGTTGGATGAACTGACAATCACTACAACATCGAGGTCTTGAGACACTTTCAGTGAAGTAAATGAAGAAATTTTGGCTGGCTCCTGTTGCTGCTCATTACACATATCTTCTTCGTGAAGTGCTAAATCCACATGAGCTACATATGTACCATCCACAACATCAAAAATGTCTTTGAGTTAGAGTTAAAAGAAAATGCCAGTTTTATAAGTATGACTAACCATTTAAAGCACAGGTTGGGATAAAGCTATAGACTTTATCACTCCAATTTTGTAGGTGTAACAAGAAGACTGAAAACTGAGGCAAGTCCCCATTATAACAATCAGATGACTACGAAGTTGGTGGTACCATAAAGAACCTGATACCAAGTTCTTCAACAATACCTGCTGAACATCTACTGTGGGCCGCGCCCAGAGGCACTACTATTTTCTAACAGCACTGGCTAAGAGATGAGGTAAACCTAATATATTTTATGCAACCCAATACTGTCTATCCAAAGTATTATCAACATGCAGTCCGTATAAAAACTGAGGCATTTTATGTTCTTTCTCTTGTATAAATGTTCAAAGTCTGGTATTTTACACTTACAGCACATCTTAATTTGGATACTAAATTTTCATCAGAAATATCTGATCTGTATTGAGACTTCATAAAATTTAAGGTTGAAAGTTGGAACAAGTAAAGTTGTAACAAACATCCTTAAAACTTCTCCAATGACTGAACTGAGTATCAGCTTTTAAATCTAAAGTAATAAAAATTAGCTGGGCATGGCGGCTCATGCCTATAGTCTCAGCTACTTGGGAGGCTAAGGCATGAGAATCGCTTGAGCCCAGGAGGCAGAGGTTGCAGTGAACCAAGATTACGCCACTGCACTCCAGCCTGGGTGAGAGTGAGACCCTGTCTCAGGAGAAGAAAAAAATTTTAATTACACAAAATTAAGAATTCAATTCCCAAGTTACGCTAGCCAATTTAATATGCTCAAAGCCACATATGCTTAATGCCTACTGTTTTGGACAGTGCAGTTCCATAACCCGGCAACAAAAATTGTTAATCTAGTACTTATGATATTTTTGCAAAAATTATATACCTATTACAAAATATAAAAAACCTTCTTTCAATTCAGAAACTAAAGTTTCAAAATCATAAAGGGTAATTTGTCAAATCTTCAGAATAATTTTGCTGATGACCAATATATCTGCTGGAGACAATGAACCCATATTTTCCAAGATCAAATTAACGATGGCTAAGCAAATATTCATTAATACGATGGAAACATCATTAGAGACAAGAGGTAGATTATATTTACACATGAAAAGATATGTATCACAACATAAGCACTTTTTTTTTTTTAAGACCATCTCGCTCTGTTGCCCAGGTTGGAGTGCAGTGGTACCATCTGGGCTCACTACAACCTCCGCCTCCCAGGTTCAAGCAATTCTCCTGCCTCAGCCTCCTGAGTAGCTGGGATTACAGGTATGCACCACCATGCCTAGCTAACCTTTTTGTATTTTTAGCAGAGATGGGGTTTCACCATATTGGCCAGGCTGGTCTCGAACTCCTGATCTTGTTATCCACCCACCTCAGCCTCCCAAAGTGCTGGGATTACAGGCGTGAGCCACCACGTCTGGCCACATTAAGCACACAGTAGATATTCAAGAAATACATTTTGAATAAATAGGTAAAGAAGAGAATATACAATTTTAAAAGAACGCAAATTCATATGATTAAGACTACTAAAAATGTACATACTGGAAAATATAATATATAGTATATATCCTATATATTCAAATAGAATATAAAGTAGATTACAATTTAGTATTTTAAGTTTATGAGGATCTTTTTCCATGAAAAGTTTTACTGAAAAATTAACCATGCTCCCTATATCCCAGCCCCCAAAACTAAAGCCTAAAAAGGCTCATCTTTCTAGGTATTTTTCTCCTCTACATGTCAATCAACACTTCTACCACCAAGGATACAGATCCAGCCTAAACTACTCAAAACAAAAAGAATTCCTCTGCAGAGCTGCGTGTCAATAATCATGTCCACTGCCTGTGCAGGCAAAGGTAGTGTGAAACAGTTGAGTACTCTAATTGCAGCATCTCTTTCAGGAAATATAATATGTAGGATGATACATTTGTTGATGAACAACAATGATGTGTTATTGTGAAATGACAGGATTCTCAAAGACAGTAAGGAAATACCTACAAAACAAAAGGATATTATTTCAAACTCATTGGTCACAATTTTACAACTGGTACATTTGATTTTATAAACCTAACAAAAAAGTAAAACAAAAAAGGAACTAGACTTAGTCTAACTCTACGCAGTTATGGTTCACACCCACCTAAGGAAGTAGTCATTGGGAAGTGGGTAAGAGGATGAATAAAGATGGCCTGCAATGTCTCTGGTTCCGTTTATGCTACTCTGATAGCACACTAGAAGGAATATTCAAAAAAATCAACTTGTCCATGGGACCCCATAAGAACAATCACATTTTTTTGTTGTTGTTTTTTTTGAGACGGAGTCTCACTCTGTCACCCAGGCTGGAGTGCAGTGGCGTGATCTCGGCTCACTGCAAGCTCCGTCTCTCGGGTTCACACCATTCTATTGCCTCAGCCTCCCGAGTAGCTGGGACTACAGGCGCCCACCACCACACCCGGCTAATTTTTTATATTTTCAGTAGAGATGGGGTTTCACTGTGTTAGCCAGGATGGTCTTGATCTCCTGACCTCATGATCCGCCCGCCTTGGCCTCCCAAAGTGCTGGGATTACAGGCATGAGCCACTGTACCCGGCCTTTTTTTAAAAAAAAAAGAAAAAAAGAAGAAACCTTATAATCAAGGGTGAAGAGTATGTTACTGCTTTAAAAAGAGGCCTGAGTGCTTTGATTTCTGCTCCCTGCAGTCAACAGCTCTATAAGCAGTGTAGATCAGCACTGTCAAATAGAAATATAATGTAAGCCACATACATGCCTTAAAATTTTCTAGCAGGGGTGGCTCACACCTGTAATCTCAGCACTTTGGGAGGCCCACGTGGGCGGATCACTTGAGGTTAGGAGTTTGAGACCAGCCTGGCCAACATGGCGAAACCCTGCCTCTACTAAAAATATAAAAATTAGCCAGGTGTGGTGGCGGGCACCTGTAGTTCGAGCTACTCGGGAGGATGAGGCACGAGAATCGCTTGAACTGGGGAAGCGAAGGTTGCAGTGAGCTAAGATGACACCACTGCACTCCAGACTGGGTGACAGAGTGAGACTCTGTCTCAAAAAAATAAAATAAAATAAAAATAAATAAAATTTTCTGGTAGCCATAAGAAACAGGTGAAATTAATTTTAATAATATACATTAGCTTATATCCAAAGTATTTCATATTTTGAAATGTAATTAAATACAAAAATTGAGATACTTCACTTTTTAGTATTAAGTCTTCAAAATCTAATATGCATATGACACAAAGTACATCTTAATTCATATTAACCACATTTTAAGTACTCAATAGCCCCATCTGCCTAGTGACTACTATATCGGACAGTGTAGACCTGATTTCACATCTATGAGAACTTTTCCTGAAGTATATAACTACATGATAATGTCACAAATTTAAATACGCTGAAAGACCACCTGTAGATACTTACTGATATCTTGATCTTCAATGAGCTTTTGCAATGCCTCCCCACTACAGCTATACAAAATGGTTGCATCACATCTTCCATCTTTCAAATTAAATTCATAGATAAGCAGTTCATAATTTTCACCAAGAGCGAGCAGTTTGGGCTTGTCAGTTGGTGTGCTGCTGTTACGAGAATCCTCCCATATAAAGCTAAGAAAAAAGTTTAGATTTATTGTATTCTATATGCGCAATAATATTTACTCACAATGGTGGGGGTAGAAGGGCTGAATAAGTAGAGAACAGTTTCGTTGACCAGGTAGCATTCATTCTACACTTCAATTTAAGAGAACATAAACTGCTCTAGGACCTCCCTCCTCTTCCTGCTTCCCTTTTACACCAACACAAAACTACAGGAGTGGGTGGTAAAAAACAAAAATGTGGGGCTCAGAGCAAGAAATGATAGCTCCTTTTATTCTTTCATCTTTAATCCCAACTAATATGTTTAAACAAACTGTCATGATCAAGGGTAGGTATCAACAATAAAATATGTATATTATTCATATGAGGCGGTATTTACAATAAAACAGGCTTTTGATAACCTAAATGTTTTGACTTTTAAAAAGAAGGTGATTATTTGTATTTATAGACTGACGATTCCAAAATCTTGAAAAACTTTGCCTAATAGAACCTTCTGTGATGGAAAAGTTTTATATTAGCATTGCCCAATACAGTAGTCAATAGCCACATGCAGCTACTGAACACTTGAAATGTGGGGCAACTGAGGAACCAAATTTTTTACTTTAACAGCCACATGTAGCTAATGACTACCATTCCTAAACAGTACAGTTATGGAATTCTTAAACTGTAATGTCAAAATAACAACACTGGCAAGACTGATGGTGTTTCAGCTTCAAATTAAATATTAAAATTAAATTACATATTACAAATAAAAGCCCCAAACCTGAAAATAACACAATGGAAAGAGGTGAGGCTATACCATGCTGATAAAATTTCATCTTTTAAGAAACTTGCTTTTTCTACAGAAGTAGCAAGTTTTATACTTCTGGAGTAGTATATAAAACTACTGTGGTACATACATGATTTAATTCAATTAGTAATAAAACTATGGATTTTATAATACTGCAGTAGTTTTATACTATTACAGTATTATGTCCTTATTAGATAAAAAAATGACACGTTTCTGACTTCATATTGATAAATGTAGAAAACCTAAATGTCAAAATAAACAAAAGTTAAACTAAGATATACTTAAAAGGTCGAGTACATCATTAGCATAGGGACAATATTGCCACATGGAAAGACAGGAAATTTTCAAGGCAATAAACAAGATATATGATGTAATTTCAACAATATAAAAAAGGTCTATGTACTTTGAAAAAGTAGGAAGTAAACTCTAAATACTAAAAACATGCCCTTATTTTTACCCTATGAAGTATTTTAACTGAATTAAAATTCAATTCAAATAAAAAAATTAAAAAGTCCTTTCTTGGTCCTCCTCCCCTCTAATTTCATGAACTAGCATAAGAATGCCCCCTTTATTTCATCTGGGTATGTCTTACCTTCTCTGTTGGGTTCTCAAACACCTAAAGATTTCTGCTTTTCTTTCTGTCCCATTCCTCTCTTTACAGAGCCACATTCATAGGTACTTGATACTGCTAAATAAACTAACTTCCCCTAAACTAGTTTATAAATAACTTAGTTTATAATAGTTTATAAACTAAATGCAGATTCCTCTTCTAGCAACTAGACATCAAGGATAGAGAAGACAAACCCAGAAGAGTTAAGCATTCACCGATTTATCAAACGAATCTCTAAATGTCAGGAGCTGTTAGAGGAGATGGAGATTCCAAGATGAATAAGACAGCTTTCAGCTACCCGTCTCAAAGAGAGAGTTGTGAAAATACTTACTATTAATAATTATTAAAGGACAGGTTGGGCTCAGTGGCTCACGCCTGTAATGCCAACACTTTGGCAGGGAGATGTGGGATCATTTGAGCCCGGGAGTTTGAGACTAGCCTAGGTAGCACAGTGAGACCTCATCTCTACAAAAAAATAGAAAAATTAGCCAGGCCTGGTGGTGCACACCTGTAATCGTAGCTACAGGGGAGGCTGAGCCCAAGAAGTCAAAGCTGGCTGCCGTGAGCCGTGACTGAGCCACTACACTTCAGCCTGGGCGACAGCGACCTTATCTTAAAAAAAAAAAAAAAAAAAAAAAAAAGGCAGCCCACTCAAAACACTAACAGGGCATTCCCAAACTTTATGATGTAAACTCTTAAGTACTGAACCAAGGTTACAGAAGTACAAAGTAACGCATTATTGTAATCACATGTTTGTCTTCCCCAAACATGCGCGCCTCGCAAGAAAGAAGTGTCTTAACTTTTTAGACACTGCTCCTATGTAACAGCAGGCACACAATATTTGTTGAATAAGTGAAGGGACAAACTGGACTCTGTCCTTGAAGAAGAGGACTACATGTGAAGAAAAACGCTATTAATTTCAAGGACATGAAAAAAGTACCAGGACGATTCAAATTAGAGATGATCCTCAGCTGGCATCTTTAACTGAAAGACGAAATGGGCATGGGACTCGACCCTATGACAGTTAATCAACCTGTGTTGATAAAGAATCAGCGCCTCAGCTGAGACTGTTCCGGGTTCGCCGCAGGTGGCAGAGGAGCTGGACGCCGTCTCCGCCCACCCGGAACAGGGGAGCCGGCCTGCCGCAATGCAACGAGGCAAGCGCTTCAGGTCGGGGGAAAGGTTCTGAGAGGAAACCAGGCTCGTCTCTGGGCCGTTTCCTGCGGCTGTCACACTTCTCCCGCCACCTCTATGGTTGCAGGGAGGCCACGGCGTGAGCCCTCTGGACTCCCCCAACGGCCCAGCTCTCCCTCAGCACTTACTGCCAGAAGGGGCCCTCCAGGCAGCAGCGACCCCGGCCCCGGCTGCCAGGCGCCAAAGAAAGCACCTGGAGGCTGCCCGCAGCCGTCAGGCTCCCCAGAGCCTCCTGCTGTGTGTGCAGCTGCGCCCGGGAGCCCAGCTGCCCCATCGCCTCGGCGGGGGCCGGCACCAACAGCATCGGTAGAACCCGCCCTATGGCCGCGGCGCCCCGGCTACCGCCGGCGGAAGCAGCACTGCCGGCTCCCTCCTCTGCAGCCATCTTGGCCCGGCCGTTACTTCCGGGCACTTTCGCCGGAACCTGATTGCGGCGTGGGCATGCGCGGTGTACGGAGCGGCTCACGCTGGGCCTCGTGACTCCCGCGGAGACCTCTCGGCTGTCTCCGGTCGGTTCCATTCCTTTCCTGTGGGGGGCAGTACCAGCCTCTATAGCAAAGCCACAACTGCTCTGGCCCCAATCGCACTCTGCTTAACTACCCTGGCATGCTTGAAGGCCTAACCTAGCCTAGCAGGCCGTTGCAGCCGTTCTCGCTCTGTGCATTACCCTTTGCCTTCTTGGTCCAGCTGCCTCCAGCTCCCCTTGAACCCAGTTCCTGCCTCTTTTCTTCGCTTTTCTTATTGTGCTGTTTGCTTACAGGCTCTGGGGTGGTGCCATTTCCTTGGTAGCATGGATCAAGTCTTACAGTGTGGATCCATAGTGAGGGTGTTGACCCGAAAGTTGAAGTCAAATAATATCCATTGTAACAGAGAGATGGGGTAAGTAAGGGGTGGAGATGGTAGAGCTCCTGTCTGTTTTCTCAGAGAAGTATGATCCAAGATCAAGAGGAAGGAGCAACGGGTTTGAGGTGAGAAGAGGAGTTGAATAGGCATTTTGGTAAAGTCTCCTAAAAGACAGCTGTAGCTGTACCTTAACACATTTGCCACGTTCAGAACATTTCCGCATAAATGTAACCTCTATTGACAGGCCTCCCTAAGCCATTCAACCTAAAGTCCCTTTTACTGCAGTCTCTCACCTTGTTTTGTTTTTAATCATAGTATTTATCACTACTTGATATTTTCTGCCAGTTCCTGTCCAATCAGAATGTAAACTTCAAAAGAGCAAGGACTTTGTTGCTCACCACTGTCCTTGCTAGTACCTAAAACAGTGCCCGTTTCATGAAAGGTACTCCAGCATTTGTTGATCAATGCATGACCTTATTTGTCAAAATAAAAGCAAACTTTTTTTTTTTTTTTTGAGATGGAGTCTTGCTGTGTCACCCAGACTGGAGTGCAGTGGCGGAATCTCAACTCACTGCAACTTCTGCCTCCCGGGCTCAAGCAATTCTCCTTCCTCAGCCTCCCCAGTAGCTGGGATTACAGGCACACACCACACCCAGCTAAATTTTTGTATTTTAGTAGAGACGGGGTTTCACCATGTTGGCCAGGCTGGTTTCGAATTCCTGACCTCAGGTGAATTACCCATCCCAGCCTCCCAAAGTGCTAAGATTACAGATGTGAGCCACCGTGCCCGGCTGAAACCAAACATTTTATATCACAAGGGAGATATAGTCAACCTTCTAAGCTTAGCTGGGGCAGTTTTCTCTCTATAAAAAATGGCAACGTTAAAGCAATTTCAAAGGTTACACTTGTGTTAGCTACAAGGCCTTGTCCCTTATAATCAGGACATTCTTCTCATGCCTGTAAATCCCAGCACTTTGGGAGGCCAAGTTGGGAGGATCACTGGAGCCCACCCTTGCCAACATAGGGAGGCCCTTGTCTCTACAAAAAAAATTAAAAATTTTTTTAGAGACAGTTTTGCTCTTGTTGGCCAGGCTGGAGTACAGTGGCGCAGTCTTGGCTTACTGCAACCTCCAACCTCTGCCTCCAGGGTTCAAGCGATTCTCCTGCCTCAGCCTCGAAGTAGCTGGGATTACAAGCATGTGCCACCATGCCTGGCTGATTTTGTATTTTTAGTAGAGACGCAGTTTCTTCACATTGGTCAGGCTGGTCTCAAACTCCCGACCCTCAGGTGATCCGCCCGCCTTGGCCTCCCGGAGTGCTGGGACTACAGTCATGAGCCACTGCGCCTGGCCAAAAAAAAATTTTTTTTAAATACTAACTGGGTGTGGTGTCACATGCTTGTAATCCAAGCTACTCAGAAGAGTGAGGTGGGAGGATCACTTGAGCCTGGAGGCAGTGAGCCATGATGGTGCCACTGCACTTCCACGTGAGTGACAGAGTAACACCCTATCTTAAAGAAAAGCAAAAGGACATTCCTGGAGCACTCACACATAAGATAACCTTCATTACGGGTTTTAACTTACAAGCAAGTTCCAACACATCATTCTATTATCTCTTTAATTATACCTGATTATGCCATGTCTTATTTTTAGGCACATCATTTAGATTTTTGAAGAAAGGATATGAAAATGTTTGGGGAAGGGTTCTCCAATATATAAAGGCTTAAGAAATGTCTTCAGACTCTCTGGATCCCTGTAAATACAGTCTATACAGCTAGTGTCTGATGATTCAGCTTCCCACATATATGTATTCCAGAACAAACAGATCAGTAGATCCAGGCAAACCTATAAAGAGAACAGGTGTTAACTGCAAGCACAATTCTACTTTGCAAGCATTTATATGATTTGACTAGTATCTGACTCTAGCAGTAATTCTGAGGACAGAGATGACCATGTTATTCATGCCTATATCCTGGAATAGTTGTCCCTCAAGTATTTCTTGAATGAATGAATAATTCAGGTTCTTAAACTAATTCTTGCCTTCAAATAGCTTAGCACTATAAATGACCAAAGCGCCTCCAATGAAAGGGTGGCTGAAGACTTGGTCAAGACTGATTACACAGTAAATGTCAGTGTGTAGAACCACTTCTAAAAGCACATGTTCCTTCATGCTCATAATTTAAAAGAAGGAAGTAGTGAAGCAAGTAACAGAACATAGATTGGGCTTGAACAAGGGACTTTGACCTTGTTTCTGTGATGACTTACTCCATCCTGGCCTCCAGCTGCTGAACCAATTGTTTGTCCACGTGGTGACAGAACAGGGGAAGTAGGTTGCTGGGGAAAGCTAGGGGTTCTGCCAGAGAGGCTGTAGGCATTTGGGCTATTTCCCAGGCAATCAGAACCACCATGTCTGTCCTAGAGAGCATAAATATAAATATAAGCAAATAAATTTGCTTAAGAAACAGACTCAGGGCCAAGGTTATTATCTTTCCATTGCTACTACCATTGTCCCCCACCCCCAGGTAGCAATTCAGAGGTAACATTTGCATGTTTGCTACATGCCAAGCAATGCTTAGTGCTTTACATATTTCCCTTCCTATTTAATCTTAAGAACTATGAGGGGTTAATACCATCAGCCCTAGTTTGTAGATAAAGAAACAAACTAAGAGAAGTGAGAAGTGAAAGAACTTGCCCTAAAGTTATATTGCTAGTGAGTGATACAGTCAGAATTCAAACCTAGGTCTTTTTAAACTCTAAAGCTTGTCCCCTTAGGTACCATGTTATACTGCCTCCTAGAAGAAACCAAAACTCTAGGGCACTATTAAAAAAAAAAAAGCAGAACAGCTACAACACTGCTACTTCTTTCTCTATCCAGCCTCCTCCTCAGTACTTGAAATGCCTCAGGAAATACTTCATCTGGTTCAGTCTGCACATCCCAGGGGTACTGAGATAGTATTTACAAGGCCTTTATGATCTTACCAAGCTGTATGGTCACTGTTGGGTTCCTCTAGGGAAGAATCCAGCGATACCAGCTGCTCCCCATGACTCAGTAGGGCATAGAGCAAAGATATTCCAAACTGCAAGGGACATACATATATTCCAGCACAAAATGAGTTCACTCTCAGCATTTGGTGCTTTCCTGACTCTTATCTTCCCAACTAAAGGACAGGTTAATATTTAGAGATGGAGCCCAAGATATGCACAAGGGCTGTCAGGTTTTACACTGGTGAGCCAAAGAACTCTCTAACCTTTCCATAGGAATCACTGCTCTGAACTTTTCCAAAAGACACTCTTGGAGAGCTGATTAAATGCATATTTCTAGGCTTGACTCCTAGGAGTAGGAGGTTAGGAATGCCTCCAGGAATCTGAGGCAGGTAGTCTGTGGACTCCACTTTAAGAGGCACTTCTTTAAGCAAAGACCTTCAGTGTGGCATACACGAGATAATCCACTGGGATATTAAAAGACAGTATCAAAATTTTCACATCTAGAGTCTTTTCTTTAAAATTTTCTATCTTATATTTATTATATACCTATTGGCCGGGTGCAGTGGCTCATGCCCGTAATTCCAGCACTTTGGAAGGCCGAGGCGGGCGGATCACTTAAAGTTAGGCATTCAAGACCAGCCTGGCCAACATGGTGAAACCATGTCTCTACTAAAAATACAAAACTTAGCTGGGTGTGGTGGCACACACTTGTAATCCCAGCTACTTTGGAGGCTGAGGCAGGAGAATCACTTGAACCCAGGAGATAGAGGTTGCAGCGAGCCAAGATCGTGCCACTGCACTGCAGCCTGGGTGACAGAGTGACACTATCTAAAAAATAAAAATATTTATTATGTACCTATTATTACTAGTGTTACATTTGGTTTATAAACACACGGGTAGTGTGGTTTAGAATGTTTTTTACTGACAGAGGTACACAAGAGTTTGGAGACCTGCTCTGGAGGCTCACATTAGCAAAAATCAGGGAGCTTATTAGAAAAACAGAGCCGGCACATGGGCCCCACCCCAGACCCACTGAATGACTGAGTGGGACCAAGGAGCTAGGTTTAATAAGCTGACCAGGTGATCCTGTGCTTACTAGAAATTGAGAGGCACTGCAGAGGATAAGATTTGTGGAGAGATGAGACTGTCCCCCAACTTACCCCTTATCAGTGATACCAACCTGGAAGCCATCTATGGAAAAAAGCCTCCTAGACATGTTACCTGATTCTGAAGCACCACGGTGACTGGCCGCTCTGAGGAGCCAGGTGGCAACAGCATTAATCCCTGAAGTCCTTGGAGGAGTTCATGGAGGGTCAAGTGACTGATACATTTGCCCAGAGGTTTGAATAACATTTGTAGGGCCTGCAAGAAGATCAGTAAGCACCTCCCGAATCCCACTACAACTTCCCCTCCCCTTACCTTGCCTCCACAGGCCCTTCCATCGCTGACTGTCTTTGGCACATCTTGGTGAGGTTACTTACCGGGCTTGTCACCACTATGACTCTCCATCCCCAACACTGACACCTTCAGTACCTACTCGTCCTAGGATGCCTTCTCTAAGAAAAGTAGATAGGGGCTCAACATTTATCAGGGCGTCCTAATTTTTTACTCAGACCTCCTCAGCACACTGACACCTGTGCGACCATACACCTGTTGCTTTTTGTTTGTTGTACCTAAAGATGATCCACTGTTCCTGTAATAGTTCTGTAACTTTCTTGCCCGAGGGTGGCAAGGCCAGCATCCCTCACTGCACCCAGCACCTTCTCTGGCATCTCTGGGACATGTGGGGACTGGAGGGGAGATATGACCCCTAACCTATTCAGGAGACCATCCTCTTCTCCACTCAATGCCACAGTACCTGATCAGCCACATCCCTCCGGACCAGGAGGGGCAGATGGTGGGTGATAGCCAAAAGAATGGTAATAGCCTGATCCTGGGCCAGGAAGGGGAGCAGCCGGGCCACCAGGGCCTTCCCCTTCCTCACAGAGAGCACCTGCAGGAAGCCATCTGCTGCCTCCCTACAAGGGAGAGAGGGGAACATTTTCAGAACTCTGCATCGAGGAGAGGGATACATGCCAGAAAGCAGAGGCAGAAGCAAGACCAGTGTCTTTGCTGCTCCTTCCCTACCTGGGCTGAGGTGGAACCCTCCCACACTCACTCCAGGTTGTTCTGCTCCTGGGTCTTTAAGGTCTGGAAGAGCTTCTCAACCTGGTTGCTTTGCTGCTCAGAAAAGCAGGGCTGTGGAGGCCTATACTTCCAGCCCTCCTCTATTTCTAGTAACTGAAGGAACATCTGGGAATTTGAGGGTGGAAAAAGAGGTAAATTTGGGTACTATCTCATTCTCAAAGGTAGGTTCGGAACTCGTCCCTAAAGAACTGATATCTCACCTTCTCAATCCGGTATAACACCCGAAGCCTCTGACTGCTTGCAGCTTCTATATCCTAGGAGAAGAGAGTCGCCAGCTATCAGCTATACTGCCACTGCCACAGCCCCAGCCCAGGCCCCTGACTAGCTAGAGATTGAGCTGGAAAGGCTAGAAACCTTCCAAAGGGGAGAGAAAAAGGTCTGGGAAGATAATGCTCCCACCTGCTCTTGAGTTCCATGGGGTACAGCATCAATAGCTCGGCGAGGGCTGAAGCACGTCGACACAGCTACCTGGCCCAGGGAACCCTCGATTCGGACTACTGCATGAGAAGAGAGGCACATTTCCCTCCCTCTTCCCACGCTCTGTCCACTCAGATGCCCAGCCCAAGTCAGCAGGCCAGCCCTGACCCTACCGGACTCATAAGCCTCTGCTTTCTGAATGTAAGGCGTTACCAGCTTGAGGGACTCAACCTGGTTTCTTCGTCCGAGTAGCTCTTCGTCTACCTGCTTCTTCTCTAGCTTCTGGTAATATTCCTGAGAATGCATGGAATAGGAAACAAAAAAACAAAACTCTATATTCATCTTTTGACCTTAGAATTAAGTTTCTCAAGTGCAGCCTCTTAAGTTTTTTTTGTGTGTGTGTTATAAGTTTTGTTGTTTGACACAGGGTTTCCCTCTGTCACCCAGCTGGAGTGCAGTGGCACAATCTCTGGCTCACTGCAACCTCCCTGGCTCAAGTGATCCTCCCACTTCAGCCTCCTCAGTAGCTGGGGCCACAGGCGTGTGCTACCATGCCTGGCTAATTTTTGTATTTTTGTAGAGATAGGATTTCACCATGTTGCCCAGGCTGGTCTTGAACTCCTGGACTCAAGCAATCAGCCCGCCTTGGCCTCCCAAAGTGCTGGGATTACGGGGCGAGCCACTGTGCCCAGACAAGCACAGCCTCTTAACACTCTTTCCTACAACAATCATTCCAGAAATGATGCTGATACCTTAGGCCCTCCTTGCAGTTATTCTAAAGTGTCTTAAGCACCCTGGGCCCCACATCACCCATCTTGGAATTCACATACCAAATACTTAAAGACTAGGTACCACCACCAAGTCTGATGAAAGGGCAGAGAGCAAAGTGGAGAGCCAGTGAGCAAACCTGTTCCAGCGTCTGTAACCTTCCTGCATTCCTCATGCCCTAGTACACACACTGCATACCACCTGTCCTCCCCACTTCCCCATTTAATCTTGTGACCTCACCTGTGCTTTCTAAAAATCAGTTATCTGATGATATGAGGGCCATCCAGAGGTTGAAGAACAGAACTAGCCATAGGGATGTGTTTGTCGGTTGCCCTCTAGGCCAGTTTTATACTTCTGTGGATTCACTCAGCAGCTCTGACATTTTCTTAAAGTTGAGAAATCCTAAACTAAAATCCACTGACAAGCCAAACAAGGATTTGAAAACGGCTCTTTTGTTTAGAAGCAATGCCAAAAAGGTGAGAGTACAAAACTATTTCACTTTCAGTGACCCTTGCAGAAAACGGAGGGCTTTTGAAGCTTGGTGGAAAGAAAGGAAAAATACCTAATGTAAATGAGAAGGGAATAAGGATGGGGCCCTGGATGGGAGGCTCACAGATGTTGAAGTGAAAGTGAAACAGCTAGCCGGGCACAGTTGCTCAGTTGTTCACACCTGTAATCTCAGCACTTTGGGAGGCTGAGGTGGGTGGATCACTTGAGGTCAGAAGTTCAAGACCAGCCTGGCCAACATGGTGAAACCCCGTCTCTACTAAAAATACAAAAATTAGCTGCGTATGGTGGTGCATGCCTGTAATCCCAGCTACTTGGGAGGCTGAGGCAGGAGAATCATCTGAACCCTGGAGGTGGAGGTGGCAATGAGCTGAGACTGTGCCACTGCACTCCAGCCTGGATGACAGTGGGAGACTCTGTTTCAAAAACAAACAAAACAAAAAAACCACAATAGCCTAGACAACCCAGAAACTTGTGGACAAAGACTTGCCCCATGAATCAAGACAGAAGGAAGCAGGGAAAAATGAGTGAAAATGTCTGCTGTTGTTTGTTCAGTTAAACAAACTGAATCCCACTATTTGTAACATCCCTGTGCTTTAGATCTAAAAAGTGAAAGTAGATGAATATAACAAGACATTTCTAAGCATACAAAGGTGGGAAAGTCCATATTTCCTGGGTGAACAGGGAAAATTCTTAGCAAAGAGTGGAGACAAAACCTAAGTGTGTTTGGGGAACTGGAAATAATCAGTTGGCTGAAACGGAGGAGGAGAGAGAGAAATGAGCTTGGGATGTCAATTTTAGAAATATGGCCCCCATCCCGTAGTGATTCTCTCTCCCACCTGAACAGACATGAACTCTATGAGCAGAAGAGAGGATCAGAGAGGGCCCGGGAGTCCAGGCCCATTTGACCCAAGGTCAGAGGCAGGGCTGAGTACTGCGGGGCTCACCTGGTAGTAGTAATCATCCAGGCGGGGGTTTATACTCTGCAGTTGCACCATCTGCACTTTTATCACCCAGTCCTTCTCTTTTCTGGTCATGAGGTTAGCATAGGGGTCTGGCTGCTGACACCAAGGCTTCTTGGCTGGGGGACTTTAAGCCAGGAAGAACAACCCTTTAGACTTACCCACCACTGCCACTTCCTAAGGAGTGTGGTGAGCAGGAAGTGGGGCTCTCTGGGAAGGATGGAGCAAGCACAGAGGTGGGCAACAGCATGAGAGTTTTAACCACCAAATGGGAGCTTTGAGGGAGACGACTGGCCACAAGGGGAGACCCAGCATGCAGATGGGTTTCCCTCAACCCTGCTCCTGGTCTGGGCTGTACCTTGGTGTTTGACTGTGCTGCTGCTGCTGCAAGATCCGTTGGTGCTGAGGGTGGAGCTGGGTCAGATGACTGGGAAGACAAGAAGTAACTTGAGCTGGGTGAAAGGAAGCTCTCAGTTCTCTGCCCCCTCCATTCATTCAGCGCAGGTCAGCTAAGGTGAACATCTAAGGAACCTTATCTTTAGGTACTTTCCCAAAGTCGGCCACATGGCACATCATAGTCCTAGACCCATAGGGCTCCCAAACTCCTTCAACATCTATTTTCCTGCAATTTGGCTGCAGGAAATCTTGGCACAGTAGAAAACCTTTTGGCCTGGTCATCAGGAGTTCTGAATCCTAGTGGCAGTTCCATCATGCTAGCTGATCGCAAATAAATTTTTATTTTTAATTTTTTTTGAGACAGTCTCCCTCTGTCATCCAGGCTGGAGTGCAGTGGCACAGTCTCAGCTCACTGCAACCTCTGGCTCCTGGATTCAAGCGATTCTCCTGTAACTGGGATTACAGGCTCCCGCCACCATGCCCAGCTCATTTTTATATTTTTAGTAGAGACAGGGTTTCACCATGTTGTCCAGGCTGGTCTTGAACTCCTGGCCTCAAGTGATCCTTCCACCACGGCCTTCCAGAGTGCTAGGATTACAGGCGTGAGCCACAGCACCCGGCTTTAAATAAGTTTTTAATCTTCCTTGGGCTACATTTGTGAGGGAGAAGGAATTACACTATACCTCAGACTTCTCTTACTAGATTTCTGTTTTCCTGTGGCAACTGGTAGGCATGGTCCCCACCCCTCCTCAGCCAGCACCTCCTGAGAACCTCAAATCAGTACCTGAACCTAGGGGGCCACGAGGTCAGCAGGCTGCAGAAAAGAGTTGGGTCTGGTGAGGGCAGCCGAGGTCCAAAGTGCCGTGCTGGAGAGCTGGTGCTGGGAAATGTAGGCCAGAAAGGGATGGGCGACAGGTAGTCCAAGGTCTGAGAGAGGAATTAAGAGGTCTGGGAGAATGCCATCTCCACCAAAAGAATGCTGCTGTTGTTGTGAGGGCTCAGTTCCTTTCCTGCCTTTTCCCCTCAAGAACTTCACCCAACATTGTGCCATCTTGTGAGTCCCTCAAGGCAGCTTTGAGGGCACCAGACTGTGGTTCCTGCCCTTGTTTCTTTTCTTTCCTTTTCCTTTTTTTTTTTTTTTTT